GTTGGGGTTAAAGTGTAATGGAGCACAAAACAGTGTGTGATTATAGTGACTGTTATAGTCACTTGAAAGATGATTCGGGTAAAAGCCGCAGTGTTTGTAGCGCGTTTTTTTACACGAAGTTTTTCTTTTCTCGAGTGCAATCTTATGTAGGATAGAAAGTGTCATAAATAATATAAACCAGTTGGGCTACGCACGCTAATGCGTGTACCACATGCCTACTACCGCTTACCTACGACTTGTTAGAGAAGCAATATGAACGTATTGGCAATATGGCTTCCCATAACATAACTGTTTTCTCACCGCGCCCACGTAACATTCACACTCTTCGTCGTGCTACGTGACTTTCGCAAGGACGCACAAACGGGCATGCAAAAAGACACACAAAATTACCGCTTTATATATAGAGACAGTCGGACCGCGCGACCAGCGCCGGGCTTCCCTCATTCTTATGATAGAATCGTGATAAACGGCAGACAGCACACTCCTTTCGAACGAGTGATACTTTCGAAACACGAAGTTCGGTAGAGGAACAATAGGGCATGCACACGATATTCACAATGTGCCGATGCCTGTTCCTTTGAGTAGAATCTGTCTGCCTCGAACTGTCGCTGTTGATGCTAAAAATAATGTCTCACTGGTAGGCATTGAAAGCCTTGAATGGCACTCAGAAATGTTGTCGAGTCATAATAATACCAATATCAAATGTCTTTATGAATGGAGCTCCTTTTCTTTACGGATACATCATTAAATGAGATTCCAAGATTGTTAGCGGTTGGATAAGTTTTGCCATAAATGATATCAAAGCAGTGAGAAACCGTGATCCTTCACTGAATTGCAAACTTCGTTGGGTAGCGGTCGTAAGCAAGAAGCTAACCAAATTTCATAATTGGTCTATATCAGTGCACTTACCCTTCTTGTCGAATGAAACATATCAAAAAAAAAACAAAGCTAAATCGCAAATAACAAAGGCGCTAGGATTCAAGTTGTGATAGGATCTTGTTCTCTAAGGCCTCCTCTATCATCAATGTTCCCATCCTGCCCCTCTACTCCACGGGATCGCGAGTAATGGATTTTCGCTCTGACATTTGTTTCGCACAAATCCCGCCCCCAGTGGGCGGAGTCCGGTCGTACTACCCACCATAAGTGTTCGCACACTGCCGCCTGTCTTCCAACCAATTTTGAACACCCTAGAGCCAATTCACGCACACCCCGCCTTCTATGGACGGGGTTCGGTCCTCCCATCTACCATAAGTGTTCCCATGCCGCCTATACTCTCTACACTCTTGCCAAGTTTGAACGCCCTAAGGCCAAATTGACAATTTTGGCGCAACCACCCACCATTAGCCCGATCCTACCACCCACCATTAATGTTCCCCCTCTACCTCGGGTACTCTCTGATAAATTTTAACTCTCTAGGTTCACAGGGACAGGGTTATGATTTTCCCCCGAAACATTTATTTTACACAAACCCCACCCCCTGTGGGCGTAGTCCGGTCCTGCCACTCACCATATGTGTTCCCATCCTGCCCACTGTGCTCCTACCGATTTGAACGTCTTAGCAAGACGAGGACAGGAGTTATGAATTTCCGTACAAACAGACAGACAGACGCGAGCGCTTCATACAAAGCAAGGACAAGGATAATTATGAATATCCATGGACGGTGACTGGTGCAACACTACTGCTACACGATATTAAACAAGAACAGGGATAGGGAGCAGAGCGCTCAGTGGTGTAAGTTGCGCCGTACAGGGAAAGAAGAATTTTCATATTCCAAGGTTGGTTCCAGCAGGCTTCAGCATCGCTGTGATAGCCATCTTAGTTGCGCTGGAAACGCGGGCGGAGGTTCGAAGTGGATACATGGGAGATCAAGGCACTACAGATCTAAACCTATGAAGTCCGATCTAAGTGAGGCAGGGAAATTTGCTTAGATCAAAGACGAGCTCCTAGTTGTTTACATCAGTTACGATGGCGGGGGCTGGATTATCGAAAGTGAAGGTCGCGAAAATGGGCGCTCTGTACAAAAAGTTCAAGTCACAGGCATGGAAAAATTTGTCTACCAGCTGGCCAAAACTTGGCATTGAGCTAATGAAGACATCGGAGTAGTAAGTGCCGCGAAGAACAGCTCGAGTTAAATCCCTGATGAGTTAAACCTCTGAGGAAGTATGTCGAAGCCACACGGATCATTATAGAAAAGAATGGCCAGGCACATCACTGCCGACGCCGACGATCAACGTCCGTAGAGGACGGTAGAGTATGCTAACTCACGCGCTTTTGTTGTTAGTCTGAAAGGAAAGAAATCGGGTACGGAGCCTTTGACAAACCTTGAAACTTACGTTTGAGCTACAACAGCGACATAGAACTTCTCATGGGCTATACATGTGTGCTCGTTTTCCGGGAATTGCTGAATAAGCTACCTGTCGTGCTGGTCCTCCGGGGACTACTGAGTAAGTTATTTGTCGTGACGCCGGCTTGGAATTAAACGGGATATCTTACTCACCCAGTGTGTACACCTCACAATAATGTGTAGACTTGATTTAGCGCGGTGCCGCACCGAGAGAAAGTGGACCCGGCAACCTATAGGAAAAAATACTGGGACATCCATTCATTCAGAATCTATCCCTTGCTTCGTGCGTATTTGTCAAACTAAGTAGTATGTCCTCTAATCATCATGACAAGCCGGAGACGTGAAGAAAACAAGTGGGAGATTGCTGTGGATGCGTATGCCAGAAGGTGGGAATTCCAAGGTTTTGTAGCGTCCGTTTGTATAATCGAAGTAGAGCAAAGGAATGAACTGAAAAATCCGCGCACTAATTGTTAGCAAAAGATAAAAATGATGAAAAGAACCACGAGTAGTGGCCGTCGGGAACCGTAGAAAATGAAAATGCACAGAACTGCATGTTCAAGCAGAAGGAAAGCAGCGAAAAGTGTAGGAGTCTACCTGTACTGCAAAATGCTGAAGAAAAATGAAAATGTTCAGAGGAGATGTGAGTAGAACCCCCAACTATCATGGTAATAGAAGCATGAAAAGGGAAAGAGTGAAATTTGGAAAACGTGGCTCGATAGAAGCCCTAGGAGACAGCAGTAGTTCCACAGCAGAACTTGTAGGCTTTTGCGACAAACCATCAAAAGATGGGATGAGTTCTGACTACAGAGACTTATCTATAGATGCATGGACCTTCTAAGTAAGACGCATTCACCTCGCTAAGTCATTTAGCCTGCTGAGTTAATAAGGGGCAACGACAGAAAGGAAAACAACCCCAGTACATTCATTCTGAACCCACAGCTGTGGCCAGCAGCTATGTCGAATAAATTTTGGAAAAAACCAGAAGAGTGGTGAGTAGCAAAGTAGAGATGAATCGAATGAATGAAGAGACTACTCACCTCCGCCGGGCGGCATCGAATCGCTGCTATCAGTCTGTATGTGATTTGGTAGATGCAAGCTTGATATTGTGTGCTACAGCTCAGCGCTGCAGTAATTCATAAAAGTCCATCCATAACATTTTCATTGTGTGGTTCCTGTATCACCTGTATCACCTGTCGTCCTGTGGATCATCGACTTCCTCGAGCAGGCGCCAGTAACGTCTCCATTCGTCCGTGCCACTAGCCAGAATGGTCCGGTGAATCGTCCTCGCTTCAGGGGCACGAGGTCTAACATTTCTTTCGTTTAAAGCTTTCGTGAAGAAGTCTGACAATATCGTTGGCGGCCGTCCTGGAGTTTTTTTGATGTCCCGAGGGATTCAGTCAGTAACCGGTCATCACTACACCGCATAACGTGTCCGGACCACCTGATCTTCGATATCTTGGCGTAATCAACCGCATCCCTAATCTTCGTTCGGTGACGGAGCTCGGAACTCCAGAATCCCTTCTGCATTTGTGTATATAGGGAAATCTCGAGCATCGTCCTTTCCAAAGCGCGTTGAGTAACGCCGCCGACCTTCGCTCCCGAATCTTCCCATTCCAAATGACGCATGATATTCTCGAGGGCGGCACTGAAGATATGGTATCGCCCTGTCGGACACCTCTCTTCACGTTGATAATGACTTCCTTGTAGAATGGTGAAATCCTGGTCGTAAAGTTGTCGTAGAGCTCGTAAAGCATCCTTATACATATATTGAGTCGGGAGACCCTGGTTTCCCAACTCAGTCTTGTGGAGGGTCTGGAGTTCATAGAGAACGTTCCTCGTAATGCATGGAGGAAACATGTATTCATAGAACGAAATTAAACGGAGCTGATGACAACATCGAGAAGTCTGTACTATAGAGGGAAACTACTAACTACCACTGAATTAAGTTGTTGATTGTGGTACAGAGAGCGGAAATGTAGTGTGTCGGATAACAGCAAGATGCGGGTAGAGGTCTGACGGAGGTCCGATAGCGATGGTTCCTGGCGGAGAGAGCCCATCTAATCCCTCTCTCATCGACTTTGGTACGGCTCCGCCTCCTACTGTAATTGGCAGAAGTCATCGGAGCAAAAGCCAACCCATGAAGCCCATGTCCTACTGATTTCCTATACTACTAAACTTTTACAAAGGTGCTACTGAGCTCGATGATGAAGCTTCCTTTTACAGTACAGACATCTCGATGTTGTCATCAGCTCAGTTTCAACTTCTTTCTCTGAACACATGTTTTCTCCATGCATTAAAGAGGAGCGTTCCCTATGATCCGTCCTTCACTTCGATAATTAAAATTATTCTACCATTTATATCATAATGGAGAATGTCCTGAATGAACAACAAACTTTTGTTAGAAACCGACGCTGTGCTCTAGCAAAATTTGACCAGGATTGACTTGGTGTAGAGATTCAATGGTATCTATGATCTTAGGAACAGGTTACGATTTGTTTGTTCGCCATTGGTTATTTCGAGGAAGTTGGTTTTGTTTAATGCACGTTCATATGCTCAATGAAACATATGTAGACTGGCATAACTGGTGCGTCGTTATTTTGGATTCAGATTACGTTGTTGCTCGCATTACTCATGGTTGTGCTGTACATTCTCGAAATGATATGCAGTGTACGGGCAAACGGAGGAACTGTGAGTTTTTTCTTCACCGTGGAGACAGCTCATTCTTGAGTTGTTATATTATGAAACAAAAACGTCGATGTCTAATACTCTTCCGTGCACCAAAGAAATGAAAAAAGCGAACAGAGCTGCAAAGTAGGGTCCTCATCATCATCAGGTTCGTATGGGGATGGCAATAGAGGGGGGGGGGGGTATGATCGCTGAAATACCAGTCCTGTCTTCGCTCAGCAAGTTATCTCAAACCAACTACTAGCGTAGAAAACTTGAATCTCTGCACAATTTGCCAAATGCAGTGCATAAACAAATACATTCAAGTCAGATGACAAAGACTGCATAATTGCACTTCTTCATGTCGTAGATGAGATAATGCAGCCTGTCACAACATTGATATACTGCGTAAACGAGTGTTTGATTAAGCAAAAAGTTGGTTACCATCAATAACTAACCGATTACTTCTCTCACATAAAGGACGAGTGTCAACTAAAATAATTAGGCTCACTTGCTTCGTAATTTGCGTGACACCCTCCCCATCTAAAGTGTTGTATCAAGTTTGAAACCTGGTGCTAAGTGAGTTGGGAGGAGCCACGCGGTGGCGCGGCGCCTTTTCATGTCTGTGCCCTCTCCGGCGAGATGGTAGGCAAGGAAGGATAGGCGAGCCCGTAATGGTGTTCAGGGACGTTTCACAGCTCTTTTATGTTATAACTGCGTATTTTCCACCTAATTTTAGAGAGGGAAGGGGCTCCGGGGTGGGTGAGCCAATTAGACATTCAGCTTTTATCTCATCTCAGCTTTTTGCACGAGATAACCATCTCACCTGCTCCGGACCCCCTCCCCTTCCTAAAAATTGGGTTTTGTCGGCTCAGAAGAAGAGTATCCATAATAAGCAAGCATATATCATGTGCCAAGATGTAATTTGTTTTGAATCACAAAACACTTCAGTACACCTTCACCATCCCTTCCCAGACTCAGGTCCAGTACTACTATCTCGCTGGAGAGGTCGCAGACATGAAAAGCCGCCGCGCCGCCGCGTGGCCCCTCCCAACTCACGAGGGAAGGATACTTGGTCGCAGTGGCCATTCAAGATAAGATGTATACTGCCGTAGGTGGTTTCAAGCGCTGATCTCAAATCTGTGTTCCAAATCTGCTAAACGATTCTGGGAAAAAGTTATGGGACCAGTCCCTCCCTGTGTTATAACACTGCGATGAACTGATCACCAGGCCGAGCAAACCCCTTACCTGTGCAATGGTGGCCTAGCGTATAGTGTGGTGGACTGGTAAGTATGACATCAGGGTTCGACTCCATGGTGCGTGCGCTCGTTTTGCCTTTCGATAAAATTTGTCATAAACGATGCAAAACGTTTTTCCGGCTCAATATCGGACACCTAGGGAGCTAACTCACATTTTAGGATTCCGGTGAATAGTAAACCAATAAAAATTTTTTTTTCAACTGACCGAATATATTCGCCTCTCTACTCCGAACAGTCACGATGGTGTTTCGAAATCTTCGGCGGCTCCCTGCACTTACGGTATACGGCGGTCGAATGACTCATCCGACCGCAGCCCTCTTCGGGAGGGATACAGTCCATACATTCTGCCTACTGATACTGTCTGCGCTTTCGAAGCGATGGTAAAGGTTAACAGCCATTGTTGAAGGAATACTGAAGAGCAATAGTTAATCGCTTTGTGTGCACCATGATTATCCACTAATTCATAAGGTGAACGTCCTTTGAAGAAACCCATCCATGAGGTAAACGTGGTGGTGCGGTGGGAAATGATACCACGGCTGCACTCAAAACCCTAGATTCGCCTACGACTCGCTTTGAACCCCCCTATGGATGCTCATTGTTGATTTGGAGCGTCATCCAGTTCGTGCAATGAGAACTCCACATTAATTTTATGATGAATCTTTCCAACTTATCCGCTGATCTCTAAAAATAGACAGATCTTTTCGCTTGTTCGCCCCTGATAGTGCCGACCAGTGAGGACATCACGCTTTGTCGAAGATAGACTAATTTGAAAACTCTTAGCCTCTCATACTTGCCCTAAATTTCCGTACACGGCACTCTTTATTACTTCCTCTTCCAAGGTAGCGCCCAAGTTATGCTGCAAGAACGAAAGTCCTCCATCAAATGCGATGGCACCACCTTCAGCCAGAATACTTCGCTGGTAACATGCTGAAGAGCGTTTGGTACGATGAATCACTTGGAACCATTCTTCTTGAACTCCCTGGAGCGCATTTCGAGCGATTGCTCAGAATTCCTCTTTTGTTCGAGTAGAGCTCCAACCTTATTGGGACGGTGAGGGCAAAAAAAAATTTCCCCGTTATACCTTTTCATTGCTCCTAAAATGTGAATTGGCTCCCTAGGTGTCCGATATTGAGCCCAAAAAACGTTTTGCAAGCGTTTATGACAAATTTTATCGAAAGGCAAAATGCGCGCACGCATCAAGGAATCGACCCCTGATGTCATACCTAACAGTCCACCACATTATCCGCTGGGCCACCATTGCACAGGTAAGGGTTTTGCTCGGCTCGGTGATCCGTTCATCGCAGTGGTATAACACAGGGAGGGACTGGTCCCATAACTTTGTTCCCAGAATCGTTTAGCAGATTTGAATCACAGATTTGAGATCAGCGTTTGAAACCACCTACGGGGGTATACATCTCATCTTGAATGGACACTGCGACCGAGTATCCTTCCCTTGTTAGCACCTGAAACCTTTCTTCACCGTGTCAATGCCACAAGTCCGAATTTTCTTACTAATACAATACTTGCGGAATCTATCTCACTGTGTTCAGTGTCATTAGATTGACGCTAAGTTGAGAGTGCTACACGGAATAAACACTTTTCTCCAAATTTCCCTGCAGGAATGATTTGCAGCTTTTGCTTTTACTTGCTTTCAAAATGGTAAAAATACGTCTTGTAGCGGGAGTTTATGGGAAAATAAAACTAGGGCGCGCATCAAGATTTTTTAAAGCGAGGGAACATTTGCTGGTTCTTCTTTGGATTTATTTTATCTTATTTATGCGCAACTGATGATGAGTACTCCATCGTTTGGAACTCTGGTCGACATTATGAGCTCATGGCAATCAAAGCCCTTAGTTCTTCACCCCGCGCAATTGAATGAGGTGATACAAGATCCCAATGCTGTCAGTGTCTCTCAATGAGGATTCGTTACAATGCTTCTCATTCCAGCAATCAAATAATAGTTCAGCTGGACCATAAAAGTCGGCTGTACAATTTATGTATCCTTAAAAGACTGTCTGGTATTCATCTAGTACTCAGATGTTTTCCAGACAAGCTCACAGCTCCCTACTGCTGTTGTGATCCAGCCGAAAGAAGAAAAGAAAGAAAAGGAAAAGTCCAAAAGAGAGTCTAAAGATGGCTGGTGAGTGCTTTCTGTCGCTTAACGGCCTCTGACTATGCAAAGTAATCATGCAAAGACACTAAAAATGCTTTTCTTGAAATTGTTAGGTTGTAGTCTGTTCCTCACCAAAATAATAACTAACCGGAAATACAATTCAGTCCCTGTATGCACTCAGAAAAACTCGTTATTGGGCACTTTTTTGCCCTCCTGCGAGTGATTTTGCTTCAGTTGTGAAGTGAGAACAAATGTTATGAATGCTGAGACAAGGCGAAGGGAGGTAGTCATTGGTGACGCCGCCAATGTCTTTTACAAACAGAACCCTGGATCTATGCTCGCTCAGGCTAATCGAGCCTTCCATCTTTCTAGCGTCCCTGAATCGGTGCAAAACTTGGGAAGTAGAAGAGCGAAGATGATAAGAGAAAAACCATTCTTTTCATAGTGGTTGAAGCGTTGAAATCACTGTTATATGAATTCTTGCATCATCATCGTATCGCTAGACGCCATTCTGCTTAACATAAACAATTACCGCGCTCAGCTGTCCATCTTCTAGATGAATGAACTGAGATGAACTCTTCTGCGGGGTCAAGAAACCTCATTTTAGTAGGTGAACAACCTGCCGCACTGCACTGCAATAAAGAGCAGCAGCACAAGGATTGTTCGGTAACCGCGACCACGAAATATCTCAAAAGTAAAGCCCACATGATTCGATCAAGAAAGTTAAAAAGCGAGTGAAATTTATAGTATAACGGCTAGGAGGTGAATCACACTGAAGCTCCTTGAATGTCAAAATTTAAAGGCACAGTTCACGACAATTTCGGCTAATCCAGACCATGACGAAAAGTTGAAAATAAAATAGAAAATAGTGAGATGAAGGCGAAGGAATTGCGTGAATCGGTGCATCCAAAGTAAAATAAGGCTTTGAAGAACCATTGAAAAGGGGCTGGACGAGAATGAGACCAGAAAAATGAAGAAGAGGAGTGGGGCGTTTGGACGAGCTATACAATGTGTCTCACTGCGTACGTGGGAGTCTTGGTGCGAATAACAGTCTACAGTGTGCAAAAATTCATTCACTTACATGCATAAGTAAACACAAATCCCTAGAAACAGCAAAAGTAGCTCACTTTTTTCAGTCTCTAGGAGTAGGAAATTAAATAAGGGATCGCGGCAGCAAAAGAATAACAGAGGAAAAAAGAATGGAAGAAAAACATTGCCTTATTACTCGGATCAGCTGACTGTATGTGGGTCCTAGAGCGAATAGTTGCAATCTGTATTGTCTCAACACTAGTCTGACGTGACATCGATCGAAGGGCGGAAAAGCGGGGCTTTCCCGTATCTCGAATTATCGTGAATTGTGACTTTAAATATCTCATAGGTCCATTCAGAGAAACGCTCGGCAACTTTGGAAAACAGATCTGAGATCAGCATCCAAAAACAAGTCTAGCAGTGTAGGCCTCATTCCAAGCGGCCACTTCGACTTGGGAGCCTCCCCCTGGTAAACCAAGCCTCAGATGTGTGACGATGCCGCAGCTGATAGAATTGTGGTCTGGTGGGCATGCCATCAAGGTTCGACCCCTTGATGCATGCACTCGTTTTGCTTTTCCATGAAATGCTTTCCGAACCCTTGCAAAACGTTTTTGGAATCAACG